GTAAATTTTGGTCAATGACATGAGACAAAGTATATGTGAACTGCTGTATGAAAAGTGAATTTACTCTGTAAATCTTCACCCAAATCCTAAAAAAAAAACAAACATACCATAAATGGGGTGGCTTGAACAAACAGGAGTTTATTCTCTTACAGTTTAGAGGCTTTAAGTTTGAGTTCAAAGTGCCAGGTTCTAGGAGCTGGGTGAAAGCCCCTCCACCTTGGGCTTCAGCTCTGCCTCCTGCTCCTGGCTCACTGAAGCTAGAGGCATCTCTTCACTCAGGCAGCTACTGGCTGCTGAGGCTAACAAGCCCAAGGTCCACAAATAAAATGGCACAGTCCTGATGTTACCAAACCACATGGCAGGCCCTTAATTCAAGTCCATTGTAAGTCCCAAGGTCAGCAGAGCATGGCAGGCTGCTGAACAACGGCCCAGCTACATGCAGGGTTCAAGTGTATCATAAGCTAGAGACCCAAAGCTATTTCTTATGTATGGGAAGCAGACCACATGGTCAGTCCCACCATGGAGTTGACTGGCAGTCTTCATCATGGGGAATAACTACCACCAGCTGCCCAGCCACTCAACCAGGCCCAGCCAAGTTGACACACAAACTTAACTACCACAAAGACATGCAATAAACTAAGTGTGCCCATACTCAAACTGTACAATTTAATGCATCTCTGAACAATCACTACAATCAAGATAATGATTTCCTCCTACCCCTTTGTAATTACTTCTGCCACGAACTTACCCTACCAACCCATTACCCTGTCCCTAGGTAACTACTCATCTATTTTCTTTCACAACAGATTTATCTGCATTTTCTAAAGTTTTATATAAGTGCAATATATAGCACATTACTCTTTTTGTCTAGTGAAAAGACAGCATGATTATTTGGAGAGTCACTGATGCTGTTTCGTCTACAAAACAGTTCATTCTTCATTGTTGACTGGTATTCCATTGGTATGGTGTTCTGGTTACCTAGTGTTGCTCTGACAAGAACATACCACAAATGGGATAGTCTTAACAAACAGGAGTTTATTCTCTTACAGTTTAGAGTCTTTAAATCCAAGTTCAAAGTGCCAGGCTCTAGGGGCTGGGTGAAAACCCCTCAACCTTGGGGTCCAGCTCTGTCTCCTGCTCCCAGCCCACTGGAGCTAGAGGCGTATCTTCACTCAAACAGCTGCTGGCTGTTGAGACTGACAAACCCAAGGTTCACAAGTAAAAAGGCACAGTGCCAATGTGTTACCAAACCACACAGCAAGCCATTAATTTAAGTCCATTGTAAGTCCCAAGGTTGACAGAGCATGGCAAGCTGCTGAACAGCAACACGGCTACACACAGGGTCCAAACGTGCCATAAGCTAGAGACGATCCCCAAGGCTTCTCCTTATATACAGGAAGCAGACCACATCCCAAAGGCAGCTACTCAGCTACTTGTGATAGATCCCACCATGGAGCTGATTGCCAGTCTCATCATGGGGAATAACTACCACCAGCTGCTCAGACACTCAACCAGGCCCAGCCAAGTTGACATACAAATTTAACTACCACATATGGCTATACCACAATTTTTGTATTACTTCACCCCCTAATGGACATTTAGATTGTTTTCAGTTATAAATCAACCTGCTTTGAACATCTGAGTACAAGTCTTTTTGCAGACATGTTTTCACTACTCTTGGGAAAATATCTAGAAGTACAATGGTTGGGTTACTTTATAATTAAAAATTTCAAACTTTTTAATTTTAAACTAAAAAAGCCAAAATCTTCCAAAATTTTTTATCTCTATCAGAAGGAAGATTGGGCAATCCACTTCCATAGTGATACTGCTTTGGAAACCCAAGGAGGGGTCACTATGGGTTGGATCTGACTCAATGGCACATAACAGCCAACAACAACATCAGTACTGTATAAGTGTTCTAGTTGCTCTATGTCCTCACCATTTGCTATGTCCAGTCTTAATTTTAACTATTCTAGTAGGTTAGCAGTACATCACCGTGGTTTCGATTTGCATTTCCCCAGTGATTAATGATGTTAAACCTCTCTTCATGTGTTTATTTGCCATCCATGATTAATCCTCTTTATAGAAGTGGCAATTCAAATCTTTTATCCATATTTTTGTTGGGTTTCTGGTTTTCCTATTCTTGAGCAGTAAGGGTTCTTTATATTCTGGATATGAGTCCTTTTCCAGATGTTTTGCAAAATTTTATCCCACTCTGCACTGTATTTTCATTTTCATAACAATGTCTCCTGAAAAGCAAAGTTTTTAATTTTGATATAGTCCAATTTATTGATTTTTTTTTGTAAAATGTGTACTTTTTGTGTCATATTTAAGAAATCTGACAAGCTCAACATGACTAAAATTTTATAATTTTCTAGGGTTTTTGTCTAAAATTTTTCCATTTTCAGTTTTTGGGTTTTTTTTTTTTTTTTTTTTAATATTTTACATTTGTGATTTAGGTGAAAGTTTATGGAGCAAATTAGTTTTCCATTCAACAACTGGTACACATTTTGTTTTGTGACATTCATTGCAATCCCCATAATGTAACAGCATTCTTCCCACCTCCTCCCTGTTTTCCTATTTCCCTTTGTCCTTCCTTCTTATTCCTTCCTGCCTTCTGGGCTTTACCCTTGGGCAAATGCTGCCCTTTAGATCTTGTATGGTTTGTTCTGAGTTCAGCCCTCCCTGGTGTTATTGTTCACGGTACAGGCCTGCTTTTTGTTTGGCTGAAAGTTGAGCCACTGGGTTGAAGGGTGTCTAAAGGCCACAGTCTTGGGGGTTCCACCAACCTCTATGAGACCAGTAACTCACTGCCATCGAGTCAATTCTGACTCAGAGCGACCCCTGTTGGGTTTCTGAGGAGGTAAATCTTTACAGAAGTAGATTATCCAGTCTTCCTTCTGTGGAGTGGCTGGTGGTTTGAACCACCAACCTTCTGGTTAGCAGTCAAATGTCTTAGGCACTGCACCACCAGAGCTCCTTATCAAACCAGTGAGCCTGACTTTTTTATGATTCTGAGTTTTGTTCCACATTTTTCTCCTACTCTACCTGGGACCTCCTATTGTGATTCTTTTCAGAGCAGTCAGCAGTGGTAGTCGGGCACTATCTAGCTCTTCTATTCTTTGGGTCATGAAGGCTGGGTTCATGTGGTCCATTAGTCCTTTGGACTGTTTTCTTGTGCTATTTTTAATTCATATACTTAGGTTTATAATCTGTTTTAATTTTTATATATGGAGTGAGATAAGGGTGAAAGTTCTTTTTCCTTCATAACTAACTGTTATGTTCTTTTTCCTTCATAACTAACTTCATTCTTAACTGTTCCAATATCATGTTTTGAAAATATATTCTTTCTCTATTGAATTGTCTTGACACTTTTCTGGAAAATTAGTTGACAATATACATGTATGTCTCCTTCTGGACCCTTTGTTCTAGTACATTTATCCACCTGTCCATCTTAATGCTGACATCACACTGTCTTGATTACTATAGCTTTAGAATAGTCCCAAATCAGGTAGTTTTAGTTCTTCAAATTTACTCCTCTTTTTCAAAGATGTTTTGGTTATTATAGTCCTATGCATTTCCATATAAATTTTAGAATTAGCTTGTCAATTTCTACAAAAGAAGTCTATGAGGATATTAATTAATGATGATTTGAGTCTAAAAATTAATTTGAGGAGATCTGACATCTTAATATTTATTACCTTAACTGTTGTTAATATGTATCTCCATAGACATGTTTTATAGATTTTCAGTCTAACACCTTTTCTGTGAAATTCATCCTTCAATATTTCTTATTTTCTGATGCTATTGTAAATGGTACTTTTTTAAAAAATTTAAATTTCCAATTGTTTGTTATTGGTTTACAGAAATACATAATTTTCTTATTTGGACCTAATCCTACAATGTTACTACATTCACCAACCAACTATTTATATAGATTCAATCACCATAAATGATCACATTGCCTCCAAATAAAGGCAGTTTTACCTATTTCCTTGCAATGTGCATACTTTTCTTTCTTTCTTGCCTACTGCACTAGCTAGAACCCCAGTATAATGCTGAATAAAAGCAGTATGGCTGAATATCCTTATCTTGTTCCTGTTCTTGTGGAAAAGCATTTAGTCTTTCATCATTAAATATGTTTGCTGGAGGTTTTTCACAGATGCTCTATTTCAAGTTGAGGTAGTTCTCTTCTATTCCTAATTTGCTAAAAGTTTTTATCAGGTATGGATACTATATTTTGATCATATGATTTTTTTTTTAATTTGTTAATATGGTGAATTTCATTGATTTTTTTCAAATGTTAAAGCAACTTAGAATTCTTATGATAAACTGCACTTGATAATGATGCATTATTCTCTTTATGTTGTTTGATCTGTTAACATTTTGTTATGGATTTCTGCATCTACATTCATGAGTGATATTGTTCTGCAGTTTTTCTTATAGTCTTTGCCTGGATTGGGTATGAAGGTAATGCTGGACTCAAAAGAAGTTAGGAAATGCTCCCAGCTCCTCAATATTCTGGAAGAATTTATATAGAACTGGTATTATTTCTTCCTTAAATGTGTAGTACAATTCATTGGTAAAGCCATCTGGTCTTGGAGTTTTCTCTGTAGGAAGGTTTACAACTTTAAATTTATTGTCTTTAATAGATACAAAGCTATTCAGTTTATTTCTTGAATTAGCTTTATTAATTTGTATCTTTTAAAGAATCTGTCCATTTCATTTAAATTGTCAAATTTAATGGCATAAAGTTGCTCATAAGACTCTTACTGCCTTTTTAATAGCTGTTGCACTTGTCATATCCTACTTCTTATCTGATAATGATACCCTCTGTCTTCTCTTTTTCCTGATCAGTCTGGCTAGAAGCTTATCGATCTTATTGACGTTCTCAAAGAACTACTTTTCAGTTTCATTGATTTCTCTGTTGACTTTGTTTTCTATTTCATTGATCTCTATTCTTGTATCTTTATTTTTTTCCTTTTTTCCTATGTACTTTGGGTTTAATTTCCTCTTCTTTCTTTATTTTTTTCCTTTTCTCCTATGTACTTTGGGTTTAATTTCCTCTTCTTTCTAGTTTCTTAAAATAGTAAGGTCATTGATTTGAGACCTTTCTTATTTTCTAACATAGGCATTTAATGCCGTAAGTGTCCCTCTAAGCAATGCTTCCGTAGCATTGCAAAATTTTGTATGTGTGTTTTTATTTTCTTTCAAGGAACTCTGGTGGCACAGTGGTAAAAGCATTTGGCTGCTAAGCAAAAGGTTGCATTCAAAACCACCAGCTACTCTGCAAGAGAAAGATGAGGGAGTCTCTTTCCACAAAGATTTACAGTCTTGGAGACCCTAAAGGGCAGTTCTACTCTGACTAACAGGTCACCATGAGTAGATTTGACTCAACAGCAGTGCATTTGGTTTGGTTTATTTTTCCCATGTTCAAAATACTTCCAAATTTCACTTTTGATTTTTTCTTTGACTTGTATTTATATGTGTTATTTAATTTCCAAATATTTGGGGATTTTCAAGGTATTGTTGATATCTAACTTATTTCTATGTTGTTCAGGTAGCATGCTTTGCATGATTAGAGTCCTTTTGTATCTATTGAGACTTATTTTTGGTCCCATAATATGATACATTTGGCAAAATGTTCTGTCTGCACTTGAAAACAATGTACCCTCTGATGCTATTAGAAGTGTTCTATAAATGTCAAGAGGTCAAGTTAATCAACAATGTTGTTTGAGTCTTCATTATATCCTTACTAAATTTTTGTGCAATTGTTCTGTCAATTATCAAAGGAGGAGTGCTAAGCTCTCTAAGCATAACTGCCGATTTACTTATCTCTCCTTTCAGTTCTATCACTTTTTTCTTCACATATTTTTCAAATTTTTAATTCTTTAAATATTTTATGTAGTTTGAAGCTTTGTTATCAAACATTCAGTACTGTTATGGCCTCTTGATGAACTGATCCTTGACTAATGTAAAATGGTTCTCTTTATTTCTGGCAACACTCTTTGTTGTGAAATCTAATTTGTCTTAATATAGTCACTCTACCTTTTTTGATTAATGTTAGCATTGTAGGTCTTTTTTTTTCTCCATCTATTTCTGTCTTTACATTTAAGTTGATATTTTATGTATATGTTTCTTGTAAGCAGCATAAAGTTGTTTCCTCTGTTTTATCCAATTTGACAATCTTTGTCTCAATCTTATTTAAAAAAAAAAAAAAAAAACCTCTATATAATAACATTATTAAAGGCCTGCTTTTCTTCATTTGCCTAGGAAGTGGCAGATAATAGTAATGTTTCATATTTACCCAAAAAATAACTGATAGCCTAAAATTAATCTACTAGTGACACAAAATCAAAGTAGATTAATCTATTTTTAATGATAAATACAGACCAACTTTTTAATGAAGAGATTTACAAATTTACAAGACAATGTTAATTAAATCTGATTAGATTAGCTACTCTGACCAAGATGTTCAGGAAAAATCACTGGGCAATTTCAGTGCTAGATTCAGCAAAGAACTCTTTTCTTGTCATATCTATCCTAAAACATTGGTCAAGACTCAAAGCAGCTAAATTCAATGAATAAAGATTTTTAGCTGACAGAACATACTGAACTTCAAATCTACCCAGTCGCCTGATGGAAGGAAGGCCTGGTGAAATGTTTCCTAAACGAGTACAGCCAAGAAAACCCTAAGAAGTTCTGCTCTGTTACACATGGGATGAGGGAAGGTTAGATTCGGCAGCAGCTAACAACAACAGTATACCTATGGATTCTTTAATGAAGGTACTTTTTATAATATTCACAACTGAGGTTGTTTGTGTTCCTGGTTTTAATCATTTAAGGAGCCCGAATTAAATCACATATAAAATGCTTTTCAAAACTTACTTGACGCAGAAATAGTAGATAACAGTGCCAAATATAAATCCATCCTCTTTGGCTGAGTATTGTTCACTAGAGCCAATTTATCATCAGCATGACAGGCTGCCATTACCCCAGCCCAGACAGCAGGGTCACCTAAAGACAGGACATATAATTAGTTGGTTTCTTAATATCAAGATGTTGCTGAAAAAATTACCAAAATGAGAGTAAAAGTTTATAAGTTAAATAAATAAATAAAAATTAATTGTATCTCCAGAAATCTTGATCCAGATTTTCACTTTCTTAAAGGAAAACTAAATCACTACATTCATCCTTTAAGGCTTGCCAATTTTTTCCAAACACATCAGAGAACAAGAAATATTATATCAAGTTCTTTGTTCATGACTGGTTAGCTCAGCTGCCTAGAGTACTGTGCTACTGTAGAAAGGTCAGTTACATTTATTTTCCCTGGACCCCAAGGATAAGACACACACAGGCACTCATCTTCATCACCCAGTCCCTCCTTTAAAAGTTTAATCACAAAATAAGTAAGATAACATAATTTGTTGGTTCATTCAAAATGAAAACAATATATTATATAGACTGTCATTTATTTGATCTGCCCTTCCTTCTTTCACAACTTGGCAATAGCTCAGGGAATTGGGTGGGGGAAGCCAGACAGTAATGGGTTGAAGAAATAATAATAGGAAGAGATTACAGCGTAGACTCCTGTTTTCCAAGAAAGCTAACTGTGAAAAGAAGGAGCTAGAAGGAGATCTGGAACATGGGGAGTTTTTGGTCTTTTATTTTTAAAATTCATATTTGGTAATTCACTTCAATGGCTAGTATTTTAGTCCTGCTACTCTCAAAAAACAAATGGACAAATTTAAAATCCACAGAAAAGGGTGCTATTTAACAATTAAAAAAAAAAAAAAAAACCCTCACTGCTGTCGAGTTGGATCCAACTCACAGTGACCCTTGTTGGGTTTCCGAGGCTGGTGGCATAGTGCCTAAGGCATGTGACTACTAACCAGAAGCCTGGCCGTTCAAACCCACCAGCCACTCCTCAGAAGGAAGGTTGGGCAATTTACTTGAATAGTGCTAATGCCTGGGAAACCCAAGGAGAGGTCGCTATGAGTCAGATCCTACTCCACGGCAGTGAGTTTGGTTTGATTTATCACTACGGAAGTAGATTGCCCAGTCTTCCTTCCGAGGAGCGGCTGATAACAATATGCTCATTTAAATATACTTTAAGTTTTAGTTGTATATATTTTTTATGACTGCTCCCTCTAATACAACTCTCCTCGCAAATGTCCGAAATATACATGTATTTCATTTATAGATGATCAGTCTTATTGAGAACGGTGCAATAATCATTAGAAAGCTTATGTAGATAAAAAAGCTTTATAAAAAATTGAATACTTAACTCTATATTATAAAATAATTCTGTCCCAGATAATGACTATCTTATTTTAAACAACATTAAGATATAATCAAATTCTAGAATAAAGAAATGGGAAGGAATCATTCCCTAGAATTTATGACATCTGACTACTACATAATGACCAGCATATAATCAAGCCTCAGATCCAGATTTTAGGTCTAACTAAATAACTGTATGGCAGCTTTTCCTCTGGGACTCATTTTTCTATAAAAGAAGGTAATTGAACTAGATGATAACTGAGGTGTCATCCAGGTCTAAAATCCTCTAACTCTAATTGAGGTTGACTCAATTTCAGAACATTAATTTATTTCTAGGATTACGTGAACAACTCCTCAAGGGATCTTAGATCTTCTATAGTTTAGATTTTGGGGAGAAGGGGTAAGTATTAGCTTATGAGTCATAATTTTTTCAGTCACAATACAAAAGAATTGCTATTTCCATTAACTCTTCCATGGATAATCAGCAATCCAAATTCTCTATGAAACAAAGTGACTCTGAAATAGCATAATTACAAACTTAGAAATTTTTAAATGTGGTTTTCTAAAAATACATTTACCTCTTAGTATCACAGAACCTCAAATCCAGTAGAAATTGGACTCCTTTCAATTTGATTCCAAACTTTGGGGAATATATTTAAATTCCTGAAAAGACTCCTTTGAGTACCATCTATCAACAATGTACATTGCTTAACTAAAGATCTACAACAACTAGGTTCATAGCTTCTGCCCATAACTATAATCATATTCACTTCATTGGACTCCAAGGACAAGTCTCAAACAGGTACTCATCTTTATCACTCAGTACTTGTTTTAAAGCATCTTATCCGATGACTCTGATTCCCTGAGTATGCACTTCTCTAGATTATATGGGAAAATCAGAAGAGATAATTACAGAACTTAGCTGGGCAATCATACCTTTCTAAATTTTATGCCACATACCTAATCAAAAGCTAATTGATCTTCTACCATTCTGGGTCCACAATAAGAATTCTTAAGAGTATTCCAATCTAATATTTGTTTTCAAAAATTAGGAACATAACCAATATGTGACAGGGACAACCCTAAACATTCTAAAAGTTCTCTTTTTATTCTGTTTCAAACATTAAAGAAAGGATAAACAACAGGATATTGGTCTGTTTAGTTTTATAAAATAATCCCTGAAATGTTAGATATTTTTCAGTTTAGTTAGGATGTTTACAACATATTGTGAAAATAGCGTTTAACCTGTCCTTTGTTACATTTCTTCCCCAAAAGTCCCCAGCCAAAAGCAATAACATTCTGACTCAGCAAACGGTTGATGTGCTCTGGGGGAATCCACCATTATATGCTGTATTTCATATTTAAAACAGTAACAATATATCTCATAACCTTACATTGCTAGACATTCCAGTCTTGTAAGTCATTTTCCCAGCAATGGTAATGAAAGAATGCTTGCAATCATATACACACTTTGTGATCAACAACATACATATGACTGAGCTCATTAGAATTAAGAACAGCTAGCTCAGATGAGGCCACACAACTTAACCCCCTCCTTTCAACTGCACATAAAAAGAACTAAATGTGTAAACCTCATTAAACCAGATTGATAAAAAAAAAATGAAATAAAACTACTTGAAAATATGTAATTCAGATTTTCAATAACTGGTAATAAAGTATCTTAAAGCAGACATTTCTTTCAACCTGTTTCAATAATTGACTGTCTCTTAATATTTAGCAACAAAATACAGATAATCGAATGACCATCAAAATCTTAAAACATTTTCATAAAATTTCCTTTTGATCATACTTCATAGAAATACAAACTTCCCCTGTAAATTACAAAAGCAAGATTAATAGTCTCTGAATTAAAGAAATGGATTATAATACAGTCACCTGGAGAAAGGAAAGCTGCCTTCTGAATGGTCTTTAGAGCAATATTTTTTTCATCTTCAGCTGAACTGCTTCCCATGGCCAACTGATTTGCTGCTGTGTACAGTAATGCTTTCTACATGAGAAAAGAGGTGTGTTGATCAATTTTCTTTATATCTCCCTGTCTTTCAAATTGACTAAAAGTAGGGCTATATTTAATGATATGATATAATCCCCAAAGTCTTAAAGAAAAATAATTTTATTCTTTCATCAACATTATTTATCAAGTTGAACATTCCTTTTGTACTGGGGCAAACTAACCTTTCCATGATTTGAGTCCAGTATATGAGCTACATTTCCTGCTACAGCACCTCCCTATGACAGAACATATTGATTATTTAGAAAAGTGAAAAAATTTCATGAAATAATAAAAATTAAGACTGGTAAAATCTTTCCATTACATTATTACAATAGTTAGGTTTTACCACATTCACAATTTCCAAACTAATTATTTAACTAATGACTTGATTTATTTAGTATCAACTAATTATTAATGTTAAAAAGACTAGTTCAGTATTTTTATAAAAGAAAATCTATTCTACTGTGATCACCTCCATTCTACTCTTCTACAATATCCATAAAACATCCAAAAGTTACATGATTTTAAACCAGTACCAGCATATGTAAACATTGTTTAACAATATAAAAAAATATTGTAGTAGGGAGGAAAGAAGGAAAAGTGAAAGACAGAAAAGGAGAGCAGTAACAGAAGATAAATTAGTATGTATTATGAAAATACATGGAATTTAAAAAAAAATTGTTGTTGTTGTTAGGTGCCATAGAGTCAGATCAGACTCATGGTAACCCTAAGTACAACAGAACAAAAACACTGGTCCTGTGTCATCCTCAAAATTATTGCTATGTTTGAGCCCATTGTTGCAGCCACTGTGTCAATCCGTCTTGTGGAGACTTATCCTCTTTTTGGTTGACCCTCTCTCTACTTTAGCAAGCATGATGTCTCTCGCCAGGGGCTGCCCCCTCCTGATAACATGTCCAAAGTATCTGAGATGAAGTCATGCCATAACTTCTAAGGAGCATTCTGACAGTATTACTACCACAATATATTTATTTGTTCTTCTTGTAGTCCATGATATATTCGGTATTCTTTGTCAACATCATAGTTCAAATGGTCTTTGATCTTCCTCATTCATTGTCCAACTCTCACATGCATATAAGGTGGCTGAAAACACCATGGCTTGGGTCAGGCACAGCTTAATCCTTGAAGTGACATCTTTGCTTTTCAATACTTTAAATAGGTCCTTTGATTTACCCAATGCAAGAAGAAAAAAAAAAAAAAAAAGATTTACCCAATGCAAAACACCATTTGATCTCTAGACTGCTGCTTCCATGGATGTTGACTGTGGATTCAAGTAAAATGAAATCCTTAACAACTTCAGACTTTTCTCCATTTATCATTATGTTTCTTATTGGTCCAGTTGGGAGGATTTTACTTTTCTTCATGTTTAGATGTAATCTACAGTAAAGGCTCTGATCTTCATCAGTAAGTGCTTCAAGTCCTTTCAGTATCAGCAAGCAAAGCTGTGCCATCTGCATATCACAGGTTAATGGTCTTCCTCCAATCCTGATGTTGCATTCTTCTTCATATAATCCACCTTCCTGCATTATGTGCTTAGTGTGGTAGTTAAGGTTGTATGTCAACTTGGCTGGGCCTGGTTTTGAGTGGCTGGGCAGCTGGATATAGTTAATCTCCATGATGAGACTGGTAAGCAACTCCATGGTGGAATCTACTGGATCAGCTGAGTAGCTGCCTTAGGAATGTGGTCTACTTTCAGCACATAAGAAGACAGTACTGAGAAAGGTTTCTGGAGTTTTTTGGCATGCTTGGACCCTGCACATAGCCAGGTCTTCACTGAGCAGCCTGCTACATTATCTACCGATCTTAGGATTGTTCCTGGACTTGAACCAGTGGCCTGCCATGTTGTGTGATAATCTTGGGACTGTGCCATTTTACTTGTTAACCTTTGGCTTATTAGCCGCAACAGCTAGCAGCTGCCTGAGTGAAGAGATGCCCCCAGTTCCAGTGGGCCAGGAGCAAGAGGCAAAGCTGAAGCCCAAGGTCAAGGGGCTTTCACCTAGCCCCTAGAGCTGGTACTTTGAACTACAGTTTCTAGCCTCCTAAACTTGTAAGAGAATAAATCCGTTTGTCTAAAATCATCCAACTTGTGGGCTTTTCTGTTAGAGTGGCACTAGAGGACTGAAACGCTTGGCATGCACATCTAATAAGCATGGTAAAAGGATACTATCCTCATGCACACCTTTTCTGATTCCAAACTATGCAGTATCCCCTTGTTCTATTCAAATGACCGCCCTCTTGATTTATGTGCAGGTTCTAAATTAGCACAATTAAGTGTTCTGGAATTCCTATTCTTTGTAGTATTATCCATAATTTGCTATGCTCCACATAGTCAAATTCTTTTGCATAGTCAATAAAACACAAGTGAACATCTTTTTGGTATTCTCTGCTTTCAGCAAAGATCCATCTGACCTTCAGGAATGATATCCCTCATTCCACACCCTCTTCTCAATCTGGCTTGAAATTCTGTTAGTTCACTGTCAATGTACTGCTGCAACCATTTTTGAATTATCTTCAGCAAAATTTTACTTGCATGTAATATTAACAATATTGTTCAATAATTTCTGCATTCTATTGAATAACTTGTCTTTGGAATGGGCACAAATATGAATCTCTTCCATTCAGTTGGCCAAATAGCTGCCTTCCAAATTTCTTACTCAAGTAAGCCTTTCCAGCACTGCATAAATTTGTTGAAATATCTCAATTAGTATTCTGTGAATTCCTGGAGCTTTGTTTTTTGACAGTGCCTCCAGTGCAGCTTGGACTCCTTTCTTCAATACCAGTGGTTCCTGATCATATGCTACCTCCCCAATGGGGTAAACATTGATCAGTTTTTTTTGGTATAGTAACTGTGTGCTACTTTCATCTTCTTTTTGGGTTTCCTGCATTGTTCACTATTTTGCCTACAAAATCCTTCAAAATTGCAACTCAGTCTTGAATTTCTTTTTCAGCTTGAGAAATGATGAGTGTGTTCTTCCCTTTCAGTTTTCTAACTGCAGGTCTTGGCATATTTAATTTAAAAATTTGTCTCCATGAACCACCCTTTGAAATCTTCTCTTCAGCTGTTTTATTTCATTATTTCTTCCATTTGCTTTCGCTACTCTACATGCAAGGGCAAGTTTCACAGTTCTTCTGACATCCATTTTGGTCTTTTTTTTAAATATTTTTTTCCTGCTACCTTTTTAGGTGTTTTGCTTTCTTCAGGCACTCTGGTGGCATAGTGTTTAAGGCATTCAGCTGCTAACCCAAAAGTAGTGGTTTGAACCCACCAACTGCTTCATGGGAGAAAGATGAGGCAGTCTGCTTCCATAAAGATTTATGGTCTCGGGACCTCTATGGGGCAGTTCTACTTTGTCCTATAGAGTCGTTATGAGTCAGAATCAACTCAATGGCAATGAGTTTGGATTTTGGTTTTTTGCTTTCTTCATATATGATGTCCTTGATGTCATCTCACAACAGGTCTGGCCTTTGGTCATTAGTGCTCAAAGTGTCAAATCTACTCTTTAAATAGTCTCTAAATTCATGTGGGTATATTCAAGGTCTTATTTTGGCTCTCGTGGACTTGTTTTAATTTTCTTCAACTTGAACTTGCATATGGGCAACTAATGGTCTGTTCTGCAGTCAGCCCTTGGCCCTGTTGTAACTTAAAATATTGATCTTCTCTATTGTCTCTTTTCACAGAAGTACTCAATTTCATTCCTTCATATTCCATCTGGTGAAGTCCACATGTATAGTTGTAGCTTATGTTATTAAAAAAGGTGTTTCCACTGATTAAGTTGTTGTTGTTGTTGTTGTTGTTTTAGGTGTTGTCGAGTCATCTCTGACTCAAAGCGACCCTGTGCACAGCAGAACAAAATACTGCCCGGTCCTGAGCCAGTTCCATGATTCTTGCTATACTTGAGCCCATCGCTGCTGCCACCATGTCAATCCATCTCATTGAGGGTCTTCCCCGCTTTTGTTGACCCTCCACCTTACCAAGTATGACATCCTTCTCCAGGGAATGGTCCCTTCTGACAACATGACCAAAGTATGTGAGACGAAGTCTGGCCATTCTTGCCTCCAAGGAGCATTCTGACTGCACTTCCTCCAGGACAGACCTGTTAGTTCTTTTACCAGTCCATGGTACTTTCCACATTCTTTGCCAGCACCACAGCTCAAAAGCACCAATTCTTCTTTGGTTTTCCCTATGCATCATCCAGCTCTCACATGCATATGAGGTGATTGAAAATATCATGGCTTGTGTCAGCTGCACCTTAGTCCTCAAGGAGACATTTTTACTCTTCAGCACTTGAAAGAGGTCCTTTGCAGCTGATTTGCCCAGTGCTATATGTCATCTGATGTCCTGACTGCTGCTTCCATTGGTGTTGATTGTAGAACCAAGTAATGTGAAGTCTTTGACAATTTCAGTCTTTTCTCCATTTATCGTAATGTTGCTTATAGGACCAGCTGTGAGGATTTTTGTTTTCTTTAGATTGAGATGTAACCCATACTGCAGACTGTATTCTTCAATCTTCATCAGTAAGTACTTCAAATCATCCTCACTTTCAGCAAGCAAAGTTGTGTCATCAGTGTATCACAGATTGTTAGTGATTCTTCCTCTAATTCTAATGCCACATTCTTCTTCATATAGTCCAGGTTCTCGGATTATTTGCTCAGCATACAGATTGAATAAGTATGGTAAAGGATACAACCCTGACCCACTCCCTTCTTGATTTTAAACCATGTAGTGTTCTTTTTCTGTTTAAACAACAGCCTCCCGGTCTATGTGCAAGTTCCTCATGAATACAATTAAGTGTTCTGGAATTCCCATTCTTCTCAATGTTATCCACAATTTGTTATGATCCACACAATCAAATGCCTTGGCATAGTCAATAAAACGCAAGTAAACATCTTTCTGGTATTCTTCGCTTTGAGCCAATATCCATCTGACATCAGCTATGATATCCCTTGCTCTATGTCCCCTTCTAAATCCAGCTTGCATTTCTGGAAGTTCTCTGTCAATATACTGCTGCAACCATTTTAAAATTATCTTCAGTAAGATTTTACTTGCATGCAATATTAATGATATTGTTTGATAATTTCCACATTCTGTGGGATCACCTTTCTTTGGAATGGGTACATATATGGGTATCTTCCAGTCGGTTGGCCAGGTAGCTGTCTTCCAAATCTCTTGGCATAACTGAGTGAGTGCCTCTGGCAGGGCATCTGTATGTTGAAACATCTTTGACTTCTTCCTTCAATACCATTGGTTCTTGAACATATGCCACCTCCTGAAAGGGATGAAGATCGACCAGTTCTTTTTGGTACAGTGATTCTGGGTATTCCTTCCATGTTCTTTTGATGCTTCCTGCATCATTCAATATTTTGCCCATAGAATCTTTCAATATTGCAACTTGAGGCTTAATTTTTTTTTTTCCTTGGTTCTTTCAGCTTGAGAAATGCCAAGAGTGTTCTTCCCTTTTGGTTTTCTAACTCCAAGTCTTTGCACACTGCATTATAGTAATTGGCTTTGTCTACTCAAGCTGCTCTTTGAAATCTTCTGTTCAGCTCTTTTACCTTGTCATTTCTTCCATCTGCATTAGCTACTCTTCACTCAAGGGCAAGTTTCAGAGTCTCTTCTGACATCCATTTTGGTCTTTTCTATCTTTCTCATATTTTTAATGACGTCCTGCTTTCTTCATGGATGATGTTCTTGATGTCATCCCACAATTCTTCTGGTTTTCGGTCACTGGTATTCAATGCATCAAATATATTCTTTAGATGGTCTCTAAATTCAGGAGGGATGCATTCAAGGTCATATTTTGGCTCTCGTGGACTTGTTTTAATTGTCTTTAATTTCAAGTTGAATGTGCACATGAGCAGTTAATGTTCTGTTCCACAGTTAGCTCTTGGCCTGGCTTTGGGTGAAAATATCAGACTTTTCCGTCACCTCTTGCCACAGATGTAGTCAATCTGATTGCTGTGTACTCCATCTGGCGAAGTCCACGTTTATAGCTGCCATTTGTGTTATTGAAAAAAAGTATTTGCAATGAATAAGTCGTTGGTCTTGCAAAATTCTATCATGCAATCTTCAGCATTATTTCTGTCACCAAGGCCAAATTTTCCAACTACCTGTGACTCTCCTTTTTTCCAACTTTTGCATTTCAATCACCAGTGATAAGCAACACATTTTGATTGTATGTTTGGTCAATTTTAGACTGCAGAATTTGATAAAAATCTTCAATTTCCTCATCTTTGGCTTTGCTGGTTGGTGTGTAAATTTGAATAACAGTAGTTTTAACAATCTTCCTTGTAGGCGTATGGATATTATCCTATCACTGACAGCATTGTACTTCAGGGCATATCATGAAACATCCTTTTGATGATGAATGCCACACCTTTCCTCTTCAATTTGTCATTCCAGCATAGTAGATCACATGGCTGTCTGATTCAAAATGGCCAAAATCTGTCCACTTCAGCTCACTAATGCCTAGGATATCAATCTTTATGCATTCTATTTGATTTATGACAACTGCCAATTTTCCTCGATTCATATTTCGTACATTCCATGTTCCAATTTTTAATGGATGTTTGTAGCTGTTTCTCCTCAATTTGAGTTGTTCCATGTCAGCACATGGAGGTCCTGACTTACTTTATCCATATCCTTAAGGTAGGCTCTACTCTGATGAGGCAGCTCTTTTCCAGTCCTATTTTGAGTGCCTTCCAACCCAAGGGACTCATTTTCCTGCACTGTGTCTGAAGATGTTTCCGGCCTCTCCTGCTCCCTCCCTTTCCTGGCTCTAGGGGGCTTGGGGCCTAGCCTTGCCTCCTGCCCCTTTTTACCTGGATATCCTGCTGCTCTAGAGGTCCCCAGCCTTTCCTGTTCCCTCTATTTCCTGGATCTATGGGGCTTGGGGTGTATCCTTGCCCTGCCCCTTTTACCTGATATCCTGCCACTCTGGATTAAGTTGCTGGTCTTGCAAAATTCTATCATGAGATCTCTGGTGTCGTTTCTATTACCAAAATTATATTTTTCAACTACCAATCCTTCTTTGTTTTCATCTTTCTCACTCCAATCACCAGTAATTATCAATGAATCTTGACTACATGTTTGAACAATTTCAGACTGCAGAATTGGTAAATAGTTTCAATTTCTTTATCTCCGGCATTCATGGTTGCTGGGTAAATTTGAATAATAGTCATATTAACTGGTCTTCCTTGTAGGTATATGAATACTCTCTTATCAATGATAGCACTGTACTTCTGGATAGATCTTAAATTCTTCTTTTAGAAGATGAATGTGACACCATTCTTCTTCAACTTGTCATTCCTGGCATAGTAGAAAATATGACTGACTGATTCAAAATGGCCAATAATAGTCCATTTCAGCTCACTAATACCTAGGATATTGATCTTTATGCATTTCATTCACTTTTGATGACTTCCAATTTTCATACTTCATATATTCCATGTTCTGATTATTAACGGACATTTACAGCTACTGCTCCTCATTTTAAGCCATGCCATATCAGCAAATGAAAGTCTTGAAAGCTTTACTCCATCCATTTATAGTCATTAAGGTTGACTCTACTTTGAAGGGCAGCTCTTCCTCATTCATATTTCTAGCTCCTGGGGAGCTCATCTTCCAGAACCATATCAGACAATGTTAATGTTCCACTGCTATTCATAAGGTTTTCACTGACCAATATTTTAAGAAGTACATCACCAGGCCCTTCTTCCTAGTCTGCCTCAGTCTGGAAGCTCCACTGAAACCTGTCCACTATGGGTGACCCCACTGGTATTTGAAAAACCAGTGGCATAGCTCTGCCGGCATCACGTTAATACTCAAGACACTACAGTACAACAAACTGACAGCCAAGTGGTGGAAAATATTTGTGGTCTCTAATGAAGCAAGTAACTAGAGTTCAGAGAACTACAAAGCTCAGCATTTCAATAATCAATTGAAAACAAAAAAATACACACAGCATTACAGTTTTTATAAGGTCTATTTGAAAGGTATAATTTCTAAAAATTCAATTATTGTGTATTTTATCTGGAAAAAAATGAATTATGAAGATGATTTCATATACTGTACCCTTCATTTTATATCAGAAGTATATCAGAAATGCTTCCAAAACTATAGTTACTATAGTATACTAAAAACATTAATACATTTTTAAAAAATATGTCAATATGAATCAAATAGAAAATAAATAGAAGAAAGGTAACAAAGAAGAGGAGGAAGAGGATTTGGGAGTTAGATCTGATACTGAATCCCCTCACCACAACTTCTTGTGTGACTGCACAAGTTACAGTAACCTTTCTGCCTCAGTTTCCTCATCAAAAAATAAACGCACCTGCTTCTATAAAAATGCTTAGAACAGTAACTAGCACTTATTTAATTTGGCGTCTAGTAATGGTCTTCTGGGAGCTCTGGTAGTGCAGTGCCTAAGGCACTTGACTGCTAACAAGAAGGCTGGCGGTTCAAACCCACCAGCCACTCCTCGGAAGGAAGGTTGGGTGTTCTACTTCCGTAGGGATACTGCCTCGGAAACCCAAGGAGGGGTTGCCATGAGTCAGATCCGACTCAACGGCACATAACAACAACAAGGATGGTCTTCTAGGTTATTTGAACAAATACATTCACTGAAAATAATGAAAAATGTGGATAAAACCTTGCTTAAAGTGTAGTCTGTATACCAGAAGCATCAGTATTCCCTGAAATACTGTCAAAAATGTAGACTATCAGGCCCTATCCCATGCCCACTGAATTAGAATCTGCATTTTAACAAGATTGCCAGGTGATTTCACGTGTATTAAAAACATATTCATAAAAGCACTGAACTACTGACAAGATCATAAGGACTTGCCAGGCCAAAACTGAAAGGGAAAAGTGGAATCAGAGAAGTAAGTGACCAAGGAAGCCACTTCTGACATTGGTAGATCCCAATGAATTTGAATTGTTCTCCTAAAGGGCTCCTGGGCTAGTGGGATAGAAATTAAAGCCCAAAGCTCTCATAGAAGAAGAGTATATGGGAAATTCAGCTCACAATAAACTAAGACTCAGAGGCTATATCCTCAGATTTAATACATATCCTCAGATTAAAGTGAATCACAAATAAACCATGTCTCAAATGACCTTGCAATCCAGACACACAGTAGCCTGGTTGGTCAAGAAATCTCAATTTCTAAACCTTGGGCCCAGATTAGTAGAGGTATAAAGTACCTGGCAAAAGTAAGCACAAATTCTCTCCATGGAAAAGTTAATTAATTTTAGGCCTGAAATTATTCCTACAAATAAATTTTCAAGCACACACAATCAAGTACCTAAAGAAATAAAGCTACTATAAGTGAAAAGCAGTAGAAATAATGAACAACAGACAGACCCACTAAGACTTCAGATAGGAGTCTCTGTGTGGTACCAACAATTAAAGCACTCGGCTGCTAATCAGAACATTGGCAGTTTGAGTTTACCCAGAGACATCTTGTAAGCAATGCCTGGCAATCTGCTTCTAAAAAATCAGAACTGAAAATCCTACAAAGCACAGTCTACTCTGGCAGACACGGGGCTGCCATGAGTCAGAACTGATGGAAATGATGACACTGAAAACTGCAGATACTAGAATTATTAGATGTTGTAACTACTCAAAACATATTAGCTATTACCATTATGTTCACTAAGTTGTTAAGTGAACTATAAATGGTATATTAGCCATAGAAGTTAATAGGATACTCCCGAAAATCCCTGGCTGTTATGAACTTAACATACTGACTATCAAAATACAGTATCTAATGTCTTTTATAGACCATCAATGACTTCATGTTTATATTTACATTTTTAGACATTAGTTGTGTTCTATTTTTATTCAAGGAGCTTTTGAATAAAATTTTATTTGGGGATTGAAAAACATAATAGTTAATGGTTAGTATATGGCTTAGTAAATTACAAGCATTACCTTATCATATAGCTATCAATATAATCAGCGTATGTTCAAACTGGCCCACCTACTTCTTTGTATCTTTCACAACACCTAGTGCACTGCAATAGTACACAGAGAAAACTTAGTGTACTACCTGTTGAATGACTAATGGTTAGAACTCCTTGTATTACATAATTATTTTCCAGAATGATAATTTAAAATGACATTATTTACCACATTACTACTTATTTCACTTTTTTGTCAAAATTTATATTACACACCTTTGCATTTCTCTGAGCATGCTGAGCAACCATTCGGGACAACAGAGACCAAAGAGCAGGGTCAGCTGGGTTACTACAGAGATATATCAAAAGGAATACACTTAGAAATGGCAGTCACTTTACAAAAAAAAAAAAGTATAAGGAACCAGCACTTTATTTAGCACCAAAGTTTAAGGCCTTTCAGACATCTTAAACAAGTTCATATTAATTGTGAATGTTTGGTTGAAGGTGTCTTAATTTACACAAAACAATTTTATATCTATTATATACACCAACAGTCCTTATGAAAATAAGGAAATATCAGCAACACAATGATTACAAAGCCATGAAACAAAAAAGGTTAAAGAAATCTAATATATTGTGGTTAAAAAAAATACAAAAAGATGAAAGAGTATAGGATAAATAATACTGTATAGAGGGAAAATTACTTCGATAGAAATGGCATCACAAGGAATTCTATTAAAGGAAATTTAATCTTTAAAAAATTTAACTAGCCAGCAAACACTGCCAATAAGAATGAACTAAGGAAGGAAAACAAACTACAGATAAACTATTTTACTGCTTAAAATAACGAGTGCTGCTAGTGCTAACAACTTTCTAGTTTTCAAATCTGAAAGAGTTAATGAGTTAATTTATCAAAATACTCCTAAAACCATCATCCTGAACAGTATCAAGTAACAGACTAACAATATGACAAATTCCAGAAACAGTAAAAGCTTTCGTATTGAAGCAAGTTTTGGGCCTTAACCTAAGTAAGAGCCAAGTTTCTGTTCTCTCTTTATCAAATTACTAAAAAAAAAAAAAAAAAAAATCTTTATAGGTAAAATACTATGCAGAGACCTGATCCTATGTACAATTTCTTAAAGCCACAATTTGGTTTCTAAACATATATACTACCTTATCTTATATTCTTAATAAGGTCTAAATGTCAGATCACGTAATAGACAATAATATCATGTAATAGATAATTAGGTCCCAACTTCACAAATACAGAATTTACCTATGAACAGCTTTGGATGCTTGTCTCTGTACTGCCACACTGTGGCCTTGGAGTGCATAAATAGCTGAAGTAAGAAGGCACCTCTGATAATCACTGTCTTTCTGTTTGATGTGCTTCAGTAATTCATTAAGCGCTGCTTTGGAGAGAGTAACATCATGCATTGCCAATCCTAGAGCACAAAGGGTTTGAAGGCTTTCTGCAGTTGGTTCCTTTAAGATAGAACTGTAAATATACTTTTTAATTGTCAACTGGCTATAAATACAGTCATTCTTACTATAACTACTAAAACGTATTTAAGTCCAAAAAGCAATTTACTCAAAGATTCACACACTAAGCCTATATTTAGAGATTAGCATAAAAGCCAATTTCTTAGCTTCTTGGGAGAGTAATTTCCCTGATTGCCTAAAGCAGTTAAAAGTATCAAAGGCCTTCCACAGAGCTATTATAGCAAACTTGCTTTCCTGGTCATTAAATTTAGCTGGGTTTCAGTTCTATGGAGCTCTTGTGGCATAGTGTATAAGGCATTTGGATGATACCCAGAAGGTCAGCAGTTCAAACCCATCAGCTCCTCCACGGAAGGAAGATGGGGCAATCTACTTCCATAGAGATTTACAGCCCCGGAAACCCAATTCAGGTTGCTATGAGTTGGGATCGACTCGATTGCAGTGAATTTTTGGGTTTCAGTTCTAGGTAAATAGTTTGAATAATTTTATTAAAATTTTTAGTTTCATTAAAATCCAAAAAGTAGGAATAACAAAGAAAAAAAATCTCTTCAATGTAAGATCAAATTTTCACCATTCTGAGAAAGCTATGTCCTATTTGCTCAATGTTGTTGTTGTTGTTATGTGCCGTCGAGTCAGCCCTGACTCATAGCGACCCCTCCTTGGGTTTCCAAGGCAGTATCACTACGGAAGTAGGATTGCCCAACCTTCCTTCCGGGGAGTGGCTGGTGGGTTTGAACTGCCAGCCTTCTGGTTAGCAATCAAGTGCCTTAGCCACTATGCTACCAGAGCTCCCTCAATATTATATTTGCTCAATATTATAACTAAAAAATTATATTTACCTCTACCAGAGCTCCCTCAATATTATATTTGCTCAATATTATAACTAAAAAATTATATTTACCTCTACCATATTCCAAGTAAGCATTTAGAATTTATGTTTTATATGTAGCTATCTAGCACTCTTCTTTCTCTTTCAACTGTGAAATCAGATTTATCCTCATGAATGGAAAAGTCAATAATGTCTAGGAATCCTTATTAATTTTAAAAAAGAAAACCTTAGCTCTCTACAAACTTGTTAAAATTGCTAATAATTATTATGGATTTTTTACTGTAATAAAACAAAGGAACTTTCAAAAACTTTTTAAACAAAGTTCATTTAAGTTTAATAGAAATATATCTTACATTAAAAAATACCACATACTTATCATTGTGTCTTTCTATTATTTTTTAGAAGGGGAAACAAAGTGTTTTGATGTGAAATCATGAATTTTCACAGGCAGCACTGGAGTAAATAGTTACTTTCAAGCATGAACAGTAACTCTCTTTCCAATAAAGGTTAATAGGTGTATGAGTCCAAACATAAAAGGATGTTAACTAGACTTGATGGCAGAGGGTTTCTGGTTTTTGGTAATGTTAACTGTTAACGTCAACTCTACACACCATTTAAAGAGCAACGTCTTGGATACGTCCATTTTTCCTTGTTTATACTCCGTTATTGCCAGAGCAGTCAAGATATGTGCTTTGTCTTGCTCTGATTCAACAATAGACAAGGCTCTCTCATAAGCTGTTAGAAAAACAAAACAGAATGAAATTAATACTGACTGACAAACCTCTGAGGGATTTTTCCCTTCCTAATCTTATTTTTCCAAAAGGTCTAATTGTATTTATATTTTAAATCTTCCCTGTTTAAAAGGGCATGGAATATGGATTTAAAATAATCTAACTTAGTTTAATTGATCCAAGGTAATCCTGGGGATGTCGTTAGAATTATTACTTGACATTCCCCAATTTCTACCTTAAGAATTTGAGTTACTATCTTCAACAGCCAGCTTAAGCCAGAAGTGGAGCCCTATAGCTACTGAGATATCAACAAAATTCCCATTCGGAGACCAGCAATTCTATGACGCAGTATGAGTACTTACAATAAGCTAGACCCATATATGCGGACATGCACTTAGCATTTTTGGATAAACCAAAATCTACTATTACTAACAATAGCTGAAGTCTTCATTTATCAGAAAGTTGCATCTAAGCAGTTAGGGTAGAGAAGAGCAGTTTTCAAATGCTAACTCAGAGAGCCACCATAAGTGATCTGGGGCCTCAGGCTCCTCATGTGTAATATGAAGATAACAGTTAGCTCATAACACTGCTATAAGGACATTCATTATCATAATGTGCTAAATAAAATAGCAGGTAAAAAAGGCCGAGTATCGTTCCTGACTCCTAATCACATTTAGTACATAGCAACCACCACCACCACCATCTCAATATTTTATCTTTCTGCATGTAAGCTCATTATGAATAAATTGTACTCAACTTTACAATAGTAAGACATGCCCTTTAGCTTCAAGCAATATACTTACCTTTGCTACTCTCTTTATATAGACCCTTCATAAATAAAGCTAATGCAAGACCTATGATGTCTTCCAACTCTTCAAGGGGTGTTGACTTAAAAGCCTGGATAGCTTTATCATATTCACCAATGGAACTAAGAAGTAAAACACAAATTACTTTTAATTTCAAAAATAATTCTGGCTTGTATCATTAAAATATATAGGTAATATATACAAATTCTTTAAATAACTTCACCTACATTTCTTGTTTTATGGTGGAAATTCAGTAAAATATAATCTATTTGTGCTGAAGCTGTAAAAAAAGACTTGTAAACTAAAATACAAAGCCTATCACTTATGTTAAACACAATGTACAAGTGGGATTTAACTTCACATGTTGCTTCTTTTAAATTATATGTGAAAATGGCATTTTGTTAAGCATCATCAAGTCAGTTCCAACTCATAGGGACCCTATGTACAACAGAAGAAAACACTGCCCAATACTGCACCATCCTTACAATTGTTGCTATGTTGAGACCATTACTGTACCCACTATGTCAATCCATCTCATTGAGGTTCGTCCCCTTTTTTGCTGATCCCCCACCTTACCAAGCATGATATACTTCTCCAGGGTCCAGCCTGATAACATGTCCAAATACATGAGACAAAGTCTCACCATCCTAGTTTCCAAGGAGCATTTGCTGCACTTCTGCCAAGATTTTTTCATTTTTCTGGCAGTCCAGGGTATATTCAATATTTTTGCCAATATATTTCAAAGGAATCAATTCTTCAGTCTTCCTTACTCATTGTCCAAATTTGCACGCACACGATGTGCTTGAAAATACCTTGGCTTGGGTCAGACACACCTTAGTCCTCAGAGAGCCATTTTGCTTTTTAATACTTAACAGAGAGGTCTTTTGTAGCAGATTTGCCCATTGCAAAATTCATTTGATTTCTAGACTGATGCTTCCATGGACATTGAGTGTGGATCCAAGTAAAATGAAATCCTTGACAACTTCAATCTTTTCTCCATTTATCATGATGTTGCTTATTGGTCCAGTTGTAAGATTTTTGTTTTCTTTATGTTGAGGTATAATCCATACTGATGGCTGTATTCTTTCATTTTCATCACTAAGTGCTTCAAGTCCTCTTGGCTTCAGCAAGCAAGATTGTACCATCTGCATTTTGCAGGTTAATAAGTCTTCCTCTAATCCTGATGCCACATTCTTCTTCATATAAGCCACTTTCTTACACTATTTGCTCAGCATACAGACTGATTTTAAACCACACAGTATCCCCGTGTTCTGTTTGCAAGACTATTTCTCAGTCTATGTGCAGGTTTCACATGAGCACAATTAAGTGCTCATTCTTCTTAATAGTATCCATAACTGGTTATGATCCACATGTATGCTTCTGTATACTCAATAAAACACTGGTTATCATCTTTCTGGTAGTCTGTTTCAGCCAAGATCATCTGACATCTGTAAATGATATCCCTCATTCCATGTCCTCATCTGAATCTGGCTTGAATTTCTGGTAGTTCCCTGTCCAAATATTACTGCAACTGTGTGATAATTAGGTTGTGTGTCAACTTGGCTGGACCATGATCCTGAGTGGTTTAAGCTGCTGTGGTGTGGTTGTTCCCATGATGAGATCAGATGTGAGGTAGATACCTCCATGGTGGGGTATCCTGAGTAGCCAATCAGTTAAAGGGAGTTTCCTTAGGGGTGTGGCCTGCTTCCAATATATATATGGCCTGGGAAATTTGGGAAGTTTCTCTTGGATCTGGATCCTGCTGTGCTGTCTGCTGATCTTGGGTTCATCAGCCCCTACAGCTGCATGAGTCAGGAAAAGCCTCCAGCTTGACGTTTGGTCCCCAAACTTCTACAACTTTCCTGTGAGCCAACAATCCACTGTTATGCATGTTGATCTTGCATTGGTCATCCACCAGAGCCTGCTATACCGTCTACTGATCTTGGGTTGGTCAGCCTCTGCAACTGTGTGTGTCAGGAAAAGCCTCCAGCTTGATGTGCGACCACGAAGTTGGGACTTGTCAGCCTGTATAACTGGGTGAGACATTTCCCTGAGATAAATATCTCTCTCTTTCTCTCCCTCTTTCTCTCTGTCCCTGCAACTATATATATACACACAGATATGTCTATATACATATCTGTATCTGTGTGTATATATATATATATATAGACACACACACATACATATACATACAGGTACTCTGGTGGCACACTGCCTAAGGCATTTGCTTGCTAATCGGAAGGTTGCCAGTTCAAACCAACCAGCTGCTCCATGGAAGGAAGATGGGGCAATCTACTTCAGTAAAGATTCCATAAAGATTTACCACCTTGGAAACCCAATGGGGGTTGCTATGAGTTGGAACTGACTCAATGGTACTGAGCTTGTCTTTTTTTTTTAACATGTATATGTAAGCTTCATAGGTTTTGCTTTTCTAAAGAACCTAACCCAAGACAAACTGGTTCTGAATTATCTTCAGCAAAATTTTACTTGTTTGTGATATTAATGATAATGGTTTAATAATTTCTGCATTCTGTTGGATTACCTTTTATTTTGTAATTGGCACAAAAAGAGATCTCTCCCAGTCAGCTGGCCAGGTAGGACACATACATATATTAAAAGTGCAGTGAATTACTTGGCATGGCTTTTCTAGTCATAGTCTTTTTAACTCCCAGCAGATTACTGGGTTGTTGTTGTTATTTGCCATCGAGTCGGCCCCAACTCATAGCGACCCCTCCTTGGGTTTCCAAGGCAGTATCACTACGGAAGTAGGA